AGAGAGAGAGAGAGAGAGAGAGAGAGAGAGAGAGAGAGAGAGAGAGAGAGAGGAGGGAAAAAGAACGTAACTGTTGATGACTCTTCTTGAGGACAGACAAGTGAGCAGTTGTCAGCACAGGCACAGGCACTAACACCAGCCCCGACACCAGCATCGTAAGACACAAGACACCCGATGTGCTGTCTTATTGACGACAGCAGCAGCAGTGTTCTGGCGATCCTTCGATGCTCTCTCTCTCTCCCTCTCTCTCCTTCTCAAGTGAGTGAGTGTAAGCGATTGGGACGAGCATCGCCAGCCGCGCGGCATCCACTGCATCCACTGAGAGTGAAGAAGAAGGAGACAACTGCATCCAACTACTGATCGGTTGTGGGCATTGAGTGGAGGCAGCATCAGCAGCAGCACTAGTAGAGCACCAGCAAACACTGAAAGACAGACACCCTCACTAGCTGTTCTCTGTTCTCAGACAGTACCACCACCACCACCACCACCGCCACCAGCACTAGCCATCATAAAACCTTACCAGGCAGAGCATCACACCGCCATTTTCCCTCTGGTCACCGAGCATCTGCGGCACTCCATCAGCAGCAATCACTGCAGTCGAATCGATCACCGACGGCACACTTGTCGTCGTCAACTCGTCACCACCGACGAGCTGGACACCGTCGAACTGAGGACCACTGAAAAGTTGTTGTTCTCTCTCGCCCTTTTATCCTAACTCCTAATCTCTTTCTCTCGGTTTTGTTGTCTGCCCGTCATAATCAATTTATTATTGGCCACCATCATAATTCTCTCACATAAATATCAGTGCAGCCCACCAGCTATCACCACTCGACAATCGCCATCATAATCATCATCGCTAATAACTTGATACTGTATCGGTGTTCCACTAGCGTCATCCGCTACCAACATCATCACCACCACCACCACCACCAGCAGCATTATCATCACAAATACACACACACAGTGCTCCGTCAAAAGTTCGTGCGTCCAGGCATTATCTACGAAGCTATCTATCCACACAACACTATCGACCGTCGTCGTCGTCGCCGGTCCTTATCCAGGCTCTCTCTCTCTCCTTTCTTCTATCTGTGGTCTGTCCAGCAGAAGCATCGCCGTCAACACTATCACCATTAGCAGCAGCCAGTGCCAGGAGTAGCACCCACTTTCACCTGTGGATTCTCTCCTCTCCCATCATCAGTTTTTATCTTTACAACTCCGTTCAATTGTCTTGTTGTTGTTGCCTTGCTGATTGTCGCCAAGGGTTGTCACAAAGCGCCAACTAGCCACTGTGCTTCAAGGCAGCACCAACTACTGAGGCAGACTGGTGGTGATCATCTTCAGCCGCTTCCTCACCATTTCCAGACCACATCATCATCAACATCAACAACAACAGTAGTCTTCCTCCTCATCACTCAGTAGTCCGCCGATTCGCGCTTCTGCCCCATTTACTGGTCATATCTGATCACAGCAGCAAAGCTAACCACTGGCAGGCTTTCGTTGCCCGAGTCCCTTTGCTAATCACCACTCTCTCTTTTTCTTTCACTCCCCGCCGCTGCTGCTAATCACCTTCGATAAGTCTCCCTTTCTCCTACATCTCCGTACTATTTCTTGGAATTGTAGACAAACACACACACTCCTATCTCACAGAATCCACAGGTGAGAGCCGCCGCACTGTTGATAAGAGAAATGAATGAATGAATGCACAGTTTTTTGCTGTTAACAACATCAGCCTCCACTAACACCGAAATTCCTCCTCCTAGCGCACAAAGAAGCACTAGTCATCATCAGTTATCGACTTTCCAATGCATCGCATCAAGATGGAACACCACCACCAGCTGAATCACCAAATGATGGCCACCTCGAACTCTTCGCCCTCTCCTGCCTCTGTCATTGAATCGCGAGAATCCGCCATCATCAGCAGCATCGGTTCCCACTCTGCCATCGATAGCAACAACAACAGCAGCCACCATCACAACAACAACGGCGCCAGCGGCGGCCGCAGCAGCAATCACTCGAATCAGAGCAGCCCAGGCGAAAGCATCGCAATCAAGGCGGAGAACCCCAACTCTTCCCCGTCCACCATCTCTGGGCCACTTTCTCAGGGTGACACTGCTTTGGCCACGGCAACAGCAATGACCACCACCACCACTAGCCCGATTGCAAGCGTGGAGGCGACGAATCGAAGTCAAAGTGTAAACAGCAACAGCAGTCACGAGAGTAACGGCAACGGCGGTCAAGGGACGGCTGCAGTGGGCCTGAATGGCGAGGGCAAGGACAGTTCAGCCGCCGCCGCTGCCGACCAGCACTCGTCCTCATCGTCCCCAGTCTCCTCGCATTCGCTCAAGTCAGGCTCTGACCAGCAGACAGCGCAGTCAGCACTGATGGCCGGCAGTGAAGAGGAGAAACAGAGTAACAACGGCGCAGGCAACAAGTCACCGCACACTCATGTCATCACCGAGGCGCCATCATCCTCTCGTGGCGAACACCAGCTCAAGCAGGAGTACCTGTCCACCTCCTCTTCGCCCATTCTCAGCCACTCGCTGGTGAACAGCAGTCAGCAGCAGCCAATGTCACCGGCGACGAGCAGCAGCGGCGGCATGGTCATCGCCGCAGCCGCCGCGGCCGCCTCTGCCTCGGCCACTGGATCACCGGAGTCGATGAGCAACAGCAATGGCTCTAATGCAAACAGCATCATTCAGGAGCTGCCCCACGCGCAGATCATCAGCAATGAGCAGATGAACAGCTGGCACCAGCCTCAGCATCAGCAGCAGAACCAGCATCTCCACCATCAGGCGAACAGGGGCAACGGACAGAGACCCTCACTGTACGGTGGTAGTAATGGCGGCAGTAATCAGCACCATCGCCTGCTCGATCAGCAGCAGGAGCATGAAAATGAATCTCCACATCAGTCGAATCCCAGTTCGCCTCGATTCTATCTTCAACCGCATCTACAGCAACACCACAGGTAAGTGAAGGCAAAGTTGGGAGCAAAAGGCGCCAAAAGAACGATAGTTTGTAGGCCAGCACGTGTCAGATCTGCCCACACTATCGGGCACCGAGCGACGGAGTTGCCGCCGCGGCAATCCGAATGCATCCATGCTAATTAGCATTGTGCAAACGGAGATAGCCCACACTGTTGCCTCTCTCTCTCTCTCGGCAGCCATCAGCTAATAAGATATACAGCGGTGATAGGCAGCCGCTAAGTTCAAGTGCAGTGCGACAACATTACCCGATAACACCGGAGGCAATAGCACTGTTAGCAAGCCACAGTGGCCACAGTTAGCCAGCATTTGCAAACACTAATAGACGATCTCTTGTCTTTTGCCCCTTTTCTCCCAGCAATGGCACACATTCACAGGCTTCATCACTGTACGGCGGCAACCAAAATGGCGCCATCAGCAACGCTGGTTCCTCGAACATGGTGCTTACACTAAGCTCTTCCGGGCCTAGCAACTACTCGCCGACTCACTCGAACAGCCTCTACGCTCATCAACAGCAGCACCCGAATCAGCACTCTCAGCATCAGCAACAGCATCACCACCAGGATGCACTGCACCAGGCAGTCTCCAGCAGTCACATCGACACTTCAGTGGTTTCCAGTGGTGGCAACAGTTCTGGCCGCAGTTCCCTGCTCAACAATGTTCGCGTTATGGCGGGAATCGGCGATGAAGAGGGCGCTGGTGGTCACGGAGTGAGCCAGGCAGAGGCCTACGCCCACGCCATTGCCCAGCACCAGGCGGCGCAGGCGGCCGCCTCTGCCGCCGAGCACAGTCCGCAGAATGTGGCCGTGGCGACGAAGAATGTGCTGCCGCAGCCTGTGGCCGCCCACACGCAATACTCGCACCACGGACTGACGCACAACGCCCACTACGACTCCTTCTACACCTCTTCGGCGAACAGTGTCACTAGCAATCCACTGGTGCTCACCAGCACCGGTCCCATCATCAATGGCCACCCGAGCACGCCCACCGTAGTGCAGTACGCTGCTCCCAATCATCATGTAAGTATCATTGAGTGAGTGGAGTGGATCATAAAGTCAATTAATCACCTAACTTTGAACTTAACCTCTCAGAACCTTATTCTGAACCAGTCAGGTGGTGGCCACCACCATCACGGTGCCCAGGGTGCCCAGAACCCGCAAATATGGACAACGACAGATGCCCAGGCGGCTTATATGACTCAGGGTAAGTGTGAGCCTTTTTAGAGGCACTTAGTCAGCGGTAAAATGGGAAAGAACACAAAGCTGTCAGAGCGATTATTCAGCGCGGCAAAACGGACACATTTCAATTAGTGGACCTCACTGCAGCAGCAGCACCAGCAGCAGCATGGGTCAATTGTCAGAGAGATTGCATACTGGTGATAAGAGGCACACAGAACACAGTACCGCAGGAGAGGACTGAAGTGTCGGCAAGTTGATCAGAGATGACAGCTGCTGCTGCCTGCTGAGACACTTCGTGGCGGCTAATTGGTCAATCGCAGCAGTGAAAGCAGTGGACCACCACCGCCACTATTATCACTGCAAAACTGAAAGACCACTGTTCACTAACGGCTATTTTTTCCTTTCTGTTCATCTCATCTCATTCTATCTGCACCCCACAGGAAGCATCTCACCAACCGTACAGTTCGGCGACGGCAGCACCGCCGAGCTGGTGACCGTGCCGGGCAGTAATCGACTGGCGCTGAACAACCTCAGCCTGGCGTACAGCACCAGTGGCCCCACCGGTAATGGCAGCCACTCGGTGGCGGCTGCTGCCGCTGCGGCCAACCACGCCGCCGCCGCGGCCGCCACTGTCAGCGTCAACAACGGCGGATGGCCAGGGCTTACCTTCTTCGACAACGGCTCAGGCTACCCTACGGTGATGGGACAGGCGACGGCAGGCGGCGGTGCCCAGGGACTGGAGCTGAACAATGTCCGTCTGGCGACTGCCGCTAACCAGCTCGGACAGTATGGTAAGTGAGATGCAATCCACTTAATCCCTTTTCCACTAACCACTAACCAACCACCATTGCTTGTCAGAAGGTGACTACTTCGACAATACTCCTCGGGAGTGCGTCAACTGCAGCGCAGTGGCGACGCCGCTGTGGCGTCGTGACGGCACCGGCAACTACCTGTGCAACGCCTGCGGCCTCTTCAATCGCACCAACGGCATGCACCGGTCACCCAGTCGACCGCACAAGAAGACGAGCAACAACAGACGGGCGGGGCTCACCTGCTCCAACTGCAAGACCGCCACGACGACGCTCTGGCGGCGCAACAACCAAGGTGAACCGGTGTGCAATGCCTGCGGCCTCTACTACAAACTGCACAATGTAAGTGTGTCTTGGGGGGAGAGGAGATGAGGCAGAGTTGTGTACTAATGCACATGACATCTTTCTTTCTCTTTGCTCTCCATCACCCAGGTTAATCGTCCGCTGTCGATGAAGAAGGAAGGCATTCAGACGCGCAAACGAAAGCCCAAGGCTAACGTCGGCCACTCGGGTGGTGGGGGTAGCCAGAACAGCTCACTCTCCGTCAGCAGCACCCCGGATGGACTTGTTGGCCCGGCTGGCAAGGGATCAGGATCAAGTAAGTGTGCTAAACAGTAACAATATTGTGGTGAAATGGCTTAAGCTCGCCTTCAGATAATCAGATTCACCCGAAATGTGCAATCGCCGGCTGGCTTACAATTGGTCAGATTTGCTATTGTTCTAGTGCAGTTACAATCTTTAGTGCTCTTCTAGTCTAACCTGACGACACTTTAGCGACAGACATTTAGTTGACAATAGAATTAGAACCATTGACTGCAGTTGGTTGGTCAAAGTGGAGCAATTATAAAGTGTGTTATGTCGAATAATTGCGGTTAAAACTAACACCTCTTGAGCAGCAGCGCTGTTGAGATAGCAAAGTGGACACTCTGTCTTCATCATTTACCAGGATTCTCATCAGTCAGAAGCCTCTTTTTCTTTCCTTCTGCTGACTTTTATTTTGCCCTGGCTGGCAAAACTTATCAGCAAAAGACGTTTTCAGTTGACAAGATCACCGAGTAAATGATGACAAAGGGAAACAAGCTCAATTATGTAGTTAGTGTCAAAGTGTAGTAGCAGTTTCAGTTCTCGGAAAGTGAGTACTGAGCAGTAGCCAATTAGCTAATCACAGCTAGTCAGAAAGAGAGCCCAAATGTCGAGCAAGTGTCAGGCTGAAGAGAGTGGAGCAGGGAAAGAGTGAGAATAGATCAGTCGATTGCATCAAAGTGGAAAAGGTCGAAATGGAAACAAGAGCACAGCGAGCAGAGCAGACAATGGCAGTAATGGCAGTGAGGAGTTATTATTACCATGATTATGTAACCGCCAACGACCGGCGAGTGCCAAGCAGCGCACAGTGCACAGTTATAGTGTCGGTTGATCAGAATGGACGATACTGCAAAACGCTGGCAGTGGCCATTGGCCCGGGCCACATTGTCTCACTCTCCCTCTCTGACGCTCACTTACTCAGTCAGTCAGTCGCCTTCAGTTTACTTTGATGGCACTCTAAGCTGATTGTTATAGGCCATCATCCGAACGATGGCCACTGGCCACGGCACTGCCACTGCTGCTTGGGAACTGATAATAAAAGCTGGCCACTTTGCTGCTGTCTGTGTGTGAGGAGAATGAACGAGTCTCACTTCTGTCCGAATCGATTCTGCCTAATGCTGAATCGCAATGAATCATTGGCGGCTATTAGCATGGTCATCACGCTGTGATAGCCGCTGAATTGTATGCCAGAATTTTGCTGGTGGGTTCAGCAACTGCTGCTCACAGTGCTTGAGAGACTCATAATTTGGCAGATCAACGGGACGATTATGGTGGCATTGTACTGCTGATGCCATTGGATATGGGTGTGCCAGTGTGGGCTCACATTGCTCACAGGTGGGTATGGCTCAAAAGGAGACGGAAAGCAATGATTCAGGAGCAGCACCAAACTTGTGTGTGTATGTGCGAGTATTCTTGACAAGTCTGTGTTGATGCAAAGGCTGTCAAATAAATCATATTCTCTTTTGCATTCTCTCTCAGAGAGTCCACCACCACTTTATAAGATTACGGCAATTTGGCAATAAATCAACTCGAAAGTCAAGTAAGCCCACAGTAGCACGAGAGGAACTGAGAGAAGGAAAGATATCAACACGAGGCCTTGCGAGCCGATGAACCCTGGTCCAGAGACAGAGAAGTGAGCGAGGGCAGTAGCTCTATTCGAACTTAGATTGGCTGCTCTTGTTATCTAATTACAAGTGCTGCAAGTCGTTGAAGTAGCTGCTGCTGTGTGTGTGTGTCGATAAGTGTGCCTTATCCAGACAGGACATGAGCACACGGTGGAGCCAAAGACAGGCAGCAGAATGACACACGCGCTCTAACTTTGGTCTACTCAATAATTGGCCTCACATCGTTCAAAAAAGTAGACACGATAACACCTTATCATGTCTAATACTTCATATAATATTTCAATTTTGCTGTCTACCAATTACAATGCACAGCAAGTGAGCTGCAGTTGCCACTGAGCCACTTTCACACAATCTTCAGTCCAGTGACCAGTGACGCTGTCAACTTCACGTGTTCCCTCTCTGTTCGGTCTCTTTTTGGACGAAATTCTAGCGAGCAACAAAAAATGAATTACAATGACAAAGTTTAATGCATAAAAAGAAGGAAATCGAAAAGAGTTTGGAAGACAGCAGCCTGCGTTTTACGGCAAAGCGAATAAATTACAAAGTGGCTAATGAATATTTGAAATTCGAATTCAGTTTCTCGATCAGTAAGAGATCCAGTAACACCACTACTTTTATTGGCTTTTCAGTTTGCCCTTATCTTTTTTTTCTTTTGGTTCTGTCACCAATTTAGTGTGACACAAAGGGCCAAGCTTGTGGCTCACAGGACAGCAGCTATCGAATCGATTAATCTCTTTACACTGCACTCACATCAGCACTGACGCCATTCATCAGTGAGCTGACGAGTAGGCAGAGACGGTAGGGAAGACTGAGAATGAGAGAATTGACAGACAAAGTGGAGGACAGGCTGAAGAAAAGACGAACTGATGGATTGCGAGTGGGTTTGAAACAGAACAAAGAAAACAGTGACTGAATCTTAGCGCAAGTTTTTTTTGGCAGTCATTCTTTACAAAATCAATGCATCCACATTATCTAACCAAAACCTTTTTTCCAATTACCTTTTTTCTAGAAAAATCCTTCCTGAGCAGCCCGACCAGTTTGAACATGTTCAACGCCTACCAGCAGCACCATCCGCCGACCATTGTTTCACTGCCCTCCCATCTGGCGCACCCCTCCTCCACGCCCAGCACAGTGGTCGGTCCCGTTGGCGGCATTCACGGTTCACTGGATGCGCACTCGCCGACGACGCCGCCGCGGACGATCACCTCGCCGATCACCCCCTCGACGGCCACACTGAATCGTCACCTGCACGATCTGCGCATTCCCAACGTGGAGATCACCACTCCGCTGTACCTCTCCACGGTGGCCGGCAACAGTGGCATCGGCCTGGGCTCCTCCTCTGCCAACGGCCTGACAATGTCCACTCCGGGCAGTGGCGCCCACACGCCCTCCACGCCGGCCAGTCTGGCCAACAGTCCGACGGCCAGTCCGCACCCAGGGTCTCAGCAGCAGCAACAGCAGCAGCACACCGTGCACCACTCCTCGGTGATTCACGAGAGCCACAGTGTGACGCCGAACATCGTCACCCCCTATCGGTCCTCCTCCAACTGACAGTGTGTTTCAGCAGTTGTTGATTAGCTATCAGATAGTCACAGTTAGTTCTTTCTCTCTTTTCGCTCATGATACCAATGCTCAAGTTAGTTTCTCTCCTTTCGACAAGCAATTTCTTCTACCCTCCCCATTTACAATCCATCTCTCATTTGGACATAGAAACATACACAACAGCAAAACACTACACACACACACACACACTCATCTTCCAATCATCGAGTCTCAAGCTCTTCTTAGCCACACAACAAATGAACAGATAACCACTCAATGCCTCTGTGGCCACTGCTAAGTAGCCACTGCAGCAGTAACCGGCAATCGCGTGCAATGTCCACCAAGTAGCTTCACCGACACCTGAACACAGTTACTTTCAAGTTACCTACTGTCGTCGGAAAATAGTGTGCCAAATCCGCATCTCTTTTTCTCTCTCTCACTTTCCCTCTCTCACCGTTTGACTGTAATCATCTACCGTTCTTATATATATTTTACGTACTTCTACTTTTATTTACCATTATGTTATTCACCCTCAAACTTTATCGCCTCTGTTGAACTCTACTATTGAGCTTCTTCAAATGTAATAAAAATGCCCAGGAATAAGCAAAACCAGCGATCATCGATTCTGATCAATTGTGGTGGCTGTCTGACAGACAAAGACAGTGAAAAGGACGAAGGTGCCCAGAGGTGCAATGGTCGGTCGGCGAGACAGGGTCGCCCGACTAATGCTTATAATGCCTCTGCACTGATGGCGGTCATAACCACCACCACCACTGCCAACTGTCACATATTGGTCCACCTTGTGTGCGGCAAAGATGCGACGAGATGATACCAAGAGAGAGAGAGAGAGAGAGAGAGA